CAGATTATAATACTTGAAGATGATGTAGAGGTTTACTTCATCTGCACAAGCACAGAAGAGCAGGAATAGAAAAATGACTAGATTATGAAGTAATGCAGATATGTTATCTAGCTAACAACATCATACATTGCTTCGGTATCGTAAAATAGACTACGGCAACTAGACATTTGAAAATCCTGAAATCTTGAATTTCAGACAAACTCTCTGCTCCAAAGCTGCACAGCAATCACATCTTCTCAGTCCAAACACAGCACCAACATCACTGTGCCCCATAGCAGGAAGAAAGTGACCATTTCTTATCAGGCAAAGTGAGAATGTGTTTCTCAGCTAAAATCAAATGATTCAAGATTTTCATCAGTGGCTGCCTACTGCCATTCTTTTAGTTTTCCCATTTTGTCACTCAGACGTTGCCATGTCTCAGACTGCAGAGAAATGAACTGCGTGCACCTTGTATATCTGGATTGATTTTTTGCTAAAGACTAATTAAGTAACTGTTAATGAACTGCTCATTAAGACTAAGTCTGTTTCTTACTTTGGAGCTTTGGTTTCATCAGCCAAAAAAAAAAGAGTCTAGTCTAACTATAAAAACATTTCCACACAAAAAAAACAACAACCACAAACACTATGAAATCCTCAAATATGCACAAAGATTAAAGAAATCTGTTACTGGCTGATTAAAGTAGTGTGTAGGATCAGTGACAGTTTTTAGCATAAATCTGATGAAATGCTACCGTTGAAAAGAAAGATTATGAATCACCAGCTTAAGGCTAAAGACATGATGCAGCAGGACAACCTGCAGACATCGTATCTACCGCCTGAGTGAACTATCAACACTTATGGACAAGTTTTGTTTTGAGAGGGACTGTCAGGGTGAACATTCCTCCCTGATTAATGTTCTGGTCTGATGTACAGCTATGCCAGCTGTTTGTCAGTGGTGTCTACCCTTCACTGTCTCAATTTGTCTGTTTCTCTCTCTCAGCCTTTTAAGGAAGGAGGAGATTGTCACAGACACTTGATAATTAAGAGGAGCGAATGATTTACATATATCCAATTATTGGAGGTGACACGTTTCCCTCTCTCTTGATTAAAATGGTATATGGTCAAAATAAAACATCTTCTGCATTAAGTGCAAAGCCTTTGTCATGTGAAACACTAGTTCTGCTTTCTATTCCAATAATGTCACTAACATTGTATTTCATAATAATGTGTTCATTTCTTTAATGGAGGCAGTTAAGTATTGACTAAAACCTGTCTGCGATGAAAAGGTGTACCATAGCTACGTATTCTGACTCCAACCACAGACAAACCTCTGACTTGACTCGCAACCTGTTCCTAACTCGCTGCAGACTTCAGCCGTTTTGGTTTATACACCCCTCTGTAATACCTGAACACATCACAGCGTGCATCTGCCAGCTACAAGTGTGCGGCGTGCAATCAATACACACAAGTAGTGGTGTTAATGAGATTTTAAAACCCTTGAACAGAAAAACCGCGTCCTGTGATGAATGTGGGTTGACCACATCTAACTTCATCCAGGCAGGTCAGTGACTAGCCAAGACGCACCCATCGATCGGCAGAGGTCAGAAATGGCCAGTTTTCAGTGTGATCGGCTGTGACCAGTGACCAGCCGATCACTCGCGCAGGCAGCAGCACAGACCAAAAGCATGTGCACCACGGAACATCTCACATGCACCTCAAGCAGGACTCGCACTTGTGTCTGTGCCAGGTGTCTGTGCACTCTCACATTAGAAGTGCTTGGTGTACAAACAGCGCACAAAGGGGGGTTACAGAAACACCTTGGAGAAGGGAAAACAACAGTACATCCAAACCTCCGACAAATAGGACATGGCGAGGGAATTACTGGCTACACATGGTATATACCTGTATATGTACGGTGTGTCCAAGCTGTGGTAAAACACAGCAAATACAAAGTACACACACTTCAAAAAGAACTGTGTGCCTTTCTATTACCTGTTGCACCTTTTTATATTTGGAGAAGTACAAATAGTGCACCGAAACTGCCTGGCAATACAGACCTAATGCTCATGGCACTTCCGGCACATGTAAATTTGTTTTACAAAAAATCTGTAGGCTTGCATGATGTTTGAATGATCAGTTGTGTAGTGTCATAGGACAGGGTTGCAAAAAGCTAAGAGATGTATTTAAAAGTTTCACACTTCCTGCCTCCAATGTGCTTTGGAGGTATCCAACATCTTTACTTTGAGTCACTTTCCATATTTATCTGCAGGTTCACAGAATTCACCAAGGGAAACGTTAGATGACCTGTGGCAGCTCAGAGGGGGCACGCTGTTAACCCGCTATAAACCCGCCATAAACCCTTATTAGCTCAGACACAGGAAGATGCAATTCAATAGATGAAAATGCTCTTGGAACAGACATATTAAGTTGGAACCATCAGACTCTTGAGACTTGACTCAGACTCCAACTCCAGCGACTTGAATTGGACTCTAATGCAAAGACGTCACATTTGACTCCGCGTTGCATGAATAGGCATCGACATCATTGGTGCCGCGATGAGAAAACCAAACCTCTCGGCTGACTGCTCAGCTGAGTGCACCTGCTACTGTATATTGTGACAGCCGACGTCTCACTGTCACATCATATTGTGTTTTAAATGCTCTCCTAACTTAGTGCTGCAACTGTTACATCAGTGCTTACTCTGCAATCTCTGCAGCAACTTCAGCTTCAAGTCAACATTCATTCCATCATTCACTTTGCACTTTATTAATCGCATATGTTTGACTCTGTAATTATGTGACAACTTGTCTCTATGGCTCCTGTCATTTTTGGTTATGGACAGGAGGCTGCCAGAAACCAAACCTGCAGCCAAACAGCATTACTACTTTTATACTGCTTATTGTGTATCAATAAAGCCAAATAAAATGCAGTATAAACAGTGTTTTGGGGCCCTGCCAAACAGATATAAGGTATTTCCATGGAAGTTTGTTCTTTGTTCTCCATTGAAGCTGGACCTTTAGTTTCTGGCAGTGTAAGATTTCCATTCCTGTCAGGCTTAATTTAGAATAGATGAATAATATGTAGGATAAAACACACAGGATACAGTTACTCTAGTAAAAATTATGAATCGTAGGCCCATGCCAGCAGTAAAATAAAAAACCTAAAGTTGGCAGTGTACTTCAACAAAAGTGTTGGATAGTCAAACACCATCAACCTCCCAGGACAGCGTGCACCACTAGACAAATATTTAAATAATTATGGTGCTGGCTTTTTGGTGTAAATAATAACTATTCACACATTTTGCCTTCCAACGTGGGAAACACGTTTCACAAACTAGCTGCCTTGTGAGGCTGGACTTGCACTTGGACTTAACTTGTAACCCTAGGACCACTTGAGAATGTCACAAATGGATTGGGGCTGCTCTTCGTGTCCTGCTGTCAATGTTGCTTTGATATGTAAAGGAGTGTGGGGCAGGAAAGAGAAAGTAAACACAGGAAGAACCGGTGAATACTCCTATGAAATAAATGTGCTCTGCGACATGGAGAAACAGCATAACCAGTATATGCTCATAATTGTGGCAATTATTTAGGCAATAAATGAAATAAAACTATTCCAACTTTGAGAAAATGTAGTGAAAATACAATACTGTGTGATACTTTGCAAAGAAGACGTGCAGCCTACATTCGACTGAGCAAAAGGGGAGTGAATACTGAGCATATACGACGACACACTGAACCACTTAGCTCAAACTTGCAGTGCACTCCTTGTAGTTGGTCTGGATTGAGGTCAGATCATGTTCACACCACAAATGAACAAATCCAAAGTTCGTTTGAAACCTTACCAAGACCACCGAAAGAGTCTCGGTGCGATTGTTTTGATCTGCGCCCAAGTGCAATTGCTGTGTTCACACCTGCCCAAACGAACCGCACCAAGGGGTTCTGAGAAGAACAAAGGACCCCCCATGTTCTGTCGTTGATGGACAGCAGGAGGCTAGCGCAGTGTAGCATAGATGCTCAAACAGTAAAGACTTTCAGTGGAAGCAGAGTCTCGGGCAGCAACATAACTGCAGTCCACTATCATTAAGCCCCACTCAGTGAAACCTCATTAAATTAACAGAAGAACCATTTCCCGTGTTCAGTCAAGTTAAAAAGCAAAGTCAAACTTGATGTGAACCAATGACAAAATAAAATAAAAAAGAAAAAGCTGCTTATGTAACCCCACTCCACAAAGCTTTCTGAAATGTACTTTTGAGGCGGATAACTGCCGTTAAAGAGGAAGAAGTTGCTGTCTGGTCATTTATGTGTACAGCAAGGCCACTGACAATTTCATTCAACAACACACAGGGGAGCAGTTAGTGTTCTTAATGGGGAGTTAGTTATCTGGGCATGAGAGCAGCCTAATAAAACCACTAAAGGTCTATATCACTTTCACCGATGAGTAGATTCAAACACGTTTTCTAATATTATGTAATATACTGCCTAAATCTATAGCACATTATTGTGAAACCTTTTCACAACAAGTCTACACTTCACTGTGTTGTCAGAATAATTACAGTATTAATACAGGGGAAGAACATTTCAAAATAACACTAACAGGACAGCTGTAGCAGCTAAGGAATAATATGCAAATTAGAGGCATTTCAAAAGGAGCCAGACAACAGCATTAAACAAAAGGCTGTGAAATACAGCTTACACAACACATCCAGGGACCCTCATATCTCTGCCGTACAATTAATATAAGAGAATATCTCCCATGCACCTAAAATTACTTAATAACGTTGTAGATTTGATTCACTGAAAAATCCTTTTTATCTTGTTTTGATAATGTCCTACAGTAAGTCTATTGTACAGATGTCTAATTAAAAGGGTCACTTATCTAAATGGCTTATTATTCATAACAATTGGTGTAGAAAGATTAAAAAGAATTGTTGTGCTGCTAGAGCAGGCTAATTAATATACCACCGAGGGACAGGCAGTGTAAAACAGAGAGAGAGAGAGAGAGAGAGAGAGAGAGACACCTACATTCGGTCGTTGGGGATGATCTTGTGTCCATCTTTGAACCATGTGACTATGGGTCGGGGGAAAGACGTGAGGATCGGCGGGCTGATGACAGCTGCTCTGCCCTGAGTCACCGTCTTTCTCTGCTCTTCAGCGGAGAAGTTCCCCAAAACTGGAGGAAGAGAAAAAGATGAAGAGCTTGAGAATCAATTTCAATTATCAAGGTAGAGTCGGTCAAAAAGCCATTAAGGTGAACCGGCAGCGTTAAGGCCTGGTCACATTGGACAACAAAATTCACCCTTGTGTCCTCACCAAATGTGTTATTCTAGCAGATGAACACAGAGTACTTACTTGCATTACTAGCTGGTAAAATACTACAGCTACATCCAACAGTATGTGGAAGCTAATTTTGCCCCATGAGCAAATCCACTGATTACAAGATTCAGCTGGAATGAACTGATTTTATCCCTTTATATGCCGGTGTGGCAGAGCCTGTAGTCTTACAACACATAGACAGTTTCTAGTTTGAGTATTTTAGTGTTTAAATGCTTCACAAACACTAAAGTGAGACTGACATGTTTAGAGAAAAAGGAACATGTTTATGTTGGCATAACCAAAAGAGATTGTGATTTTATTTAGACTATTTAGAACAACAGCATCCTCAATCATTAAGAAAGCTTCTGTATTATAATGGTGCAGACACAGCGCCAACACCTGTGTGTGTGTATGTGTGTACTCACAGGCCACCTGCACCTCTGTCCTCTTGTGTATTACTGCTCCCATCCTGTTCCTCACCATACACTGATACAGGCCAGCGTCGGTCCTCTTCACAGACGGGACAGACAACCTAACGATGGACGAACACATAAAGACGATGGTAATGAGAGTGTGTATTATCTGTGAGCTGTAAATAAACCCTATGAAAATGAGAAAGGGGGCGTTGGGAGTGATGCTTGCAGACCATCGAGACAGAAGGGAAAGCAGTGGAGGTCTGTTCGTCCATATGTACGCACTCTTCTGTAATTCCCTTTCATGACCTTGACCTGACAATGGATTGGGCCTAAGGTTGTCAAAGTTCCCCAATAACAGAAGGGAAGGAGGAGTAGCGCATGTGTACAGTATGTGTGTGTGTGTGTGTGTGTGTGTTGTGTATGAGGAGGTTTCTGACTGTGTGCATGCTTTTTTTTCTGTTAATGTGGTTTTAATGGAGTGTGCATCATTAATGAGAAGCTTGGCATAGGATCTAGGTTAGTGCCATGCTGTACAAACACACAAATGTATATACACACATATTACACACAAACTGGCCAGACACAATAAAACTGGACATTGCTTTGGGGCTCATTATCAATACCAGGACAGCCAAGTATTTAACTCTCAGGCTGTCATAGTAGGCTGCCAACATACACAAAACCACACACGCATACATCATGCAATTCCATTTGAATCAGGAACGACACATTACACAGCAGTTCTCATCCTGAAACAGATTTTGGTATTGGACACTTCCTCGTGCTGGATGTCTCTGTCTCAGCCTGTTCCATTTCAGTTGGTGTGTGCGTTGGGGCTGTCCGTGGATTTTTCTGAAACCCTAACAAGTGTTTTTCTTTATGCATCTCATTAAACACAAAGATCAGTGTTGACAGGTCCCAATCAATACAATAATTTCTTAGTCAGTTTCTCTGACACAGTCTCAGCTCTGTGGGCGAAGCCAAACTCCCCATGTGGTTCAGGACAAGTACAGGATCAATGAGGCTTTACAGTGAGACAGCGTCTGCAAAAATTGATCAAGCCTTCCCCTCTAGCATCAGTGTGAACACATCACAACAATACATTTAAGTCTTTCAGTGGAACATGTCAGTCAGGAACACTCACTTTTTTGAACAACTGATTTGTGTTGTATTGTGTTGCTACAAAGAATGGGGTGCATCGCCCAATCCAGCTTGTAGAGGCTCAAAACTGTAATTGATGAGCCAAAGGGGGTTCTACAAAGTGCTGAATTAAAGGTCTTAGTACTTCTATAAAACAGAGATTCTAGAATTTTAGTAAATTACTTAAAAAAAAAAAACTAAATGCAAGGTTTCACTTTGTCATTATGAGTTATTGAGCGTAGACTGAGGGAAAATGAAAATGTAGGCATTTAAAATGAAACTGACAAAACAAAGTGTGCATAAAGTGAAGGGGTCTGAATATTTTTTGGAAGCCACTGTACTGCTTCATATGTAAAAGAAAGAAAATATGTGGATATGTGGTTTAAGTCACTGTCTATTTAACCAGGCGTCTCTTTATTCTCTTTTCACCAGTGTCTTGTTACTGCACTGAACAATGAAGAAGGTGAAGCAGGTTGCTACAGTTCTACCTGCACGATTAGGCAGCATTTGGTCCTTGTGTAAAATAACATTGTCTGCCAAATTATTACACAGTTTTAGAGCTGCTCCTGTACAGCAGCCTTGTCAGCAGTGGTCGTCTTACCTCCTCCTTTTTAAAGTCTAAACTGGCTTAATAATGACTTCAATCCAACCCACCGTGTGAAAAGTGACAAACTACTGCAGCTGAAAAAAAAACTAAACTTTATTGTCAAAATGTATATACACACATATTACACACAAACTGGCCAGACACAATAAAACTGGACATTGCTTTGGGGCTCATTATCAATACCAGGACAGCCAAGTATTTAACTCTCAGGCTGTCATAGTAGGCTGCCAACATACACAAAACCACACACGCATACATCATGCAATTCCATTTGAATCAGGAACGACACATTACACAGCAGTTCTCATCCTGAAACAGATTTTGGTATTGGACACTTCCTCGTGCTGGATGTCTCTGTCTCAGCCTGTTCCATTTCAGTTGGTGTGTGCGTTGGGGCTGTCCGTGGATTTTTCTGAAACCCTAACAAGTGTTTTTCTTTATGCATCTCATTAAACACAAAGATCAGTGTTGACAGGTCCCAATCAATACAATAATTTCTTAGTCAGTTTCTCTGACACAGTCTCAGCTCTGTGGGCGAAGCCAAACTCCCCATGTGGTTCAGGACAAGTACAGGATCAATGAGGCTTTACAGTGAGACAGCGTCTGCAAAAATTGATCAAGCCTTCCCTTCTAGCATCAGTGTGAACACATCACAACAATACATTTAAGTCTTTCAGTGGAACATGTCAGTCAGGAACACTCACTTTTTTGAACAACTGATTTGTGTTGTATTGTGTTGCTACAAAGAATGGGGTGCATCGCCCAATCCAGCTTGTAGAGGCTCAAAACTGTAATTGATGAGCCAAAGGGGGTTCTACAAAGTGCTGAATTAAAGGTCTTAGTACTTCTATAAAACAGAGATTCTAGAATTTTAGTAAATTACTTAAAAAAAAAAAACTAAATGCAAGGTTTCACTTTGTCATTATGAGTTATTGAGCGTAGACTGAGGGAAAATGAAAATGTAGGCATTTAAAATGAAACTGACAAAACAAAGTGTGCATAAAGTGAAGGGGTCTGAATATTTTTTGGAAGCCACTGTACTGCTTCATATGTAAAAGAAAGAAAATATGTGGATATGTGGTTTAAGTCACTGTCTATTTAACCAGGCGTCTCTTTATTCTCTTTTCACCAGTGTCTTGTTACTGCACTGAACAATGAAGAAGGTGAAGCAGGTTGCTACAGTTCTACCTGCACGATTAGGCAGCATTTGGTCCTTGTGTAAAATAACATTGTCTGCCAAATTATTACACAGTTTTAGAGCTGCTCCTGTACAGCAGCCTTGTCAGCAGTGGTCGTCTTACCTCCTCCTTTTTAAAGTCTAAACTGGCTTAATAATGACTTCAATCCAACCCACCGTGTGAAAAGTGACAAACTACTGCAGCTGAAAAAAAAACTAAACTTTATTGTCAATTAATCTGCAGATTATTTTCTCAATTAATCTATTAACTGTTTGTCCTTAAAATGTCAGACAATAGTGAAAAATATGTTCATTTCAAGAGGCTCATTGTAATGACTTCCCATGACTTTTTTGTCCAACTTAGTCCAAAACCCAAACGTATATAGTTTATTTTTATGTAAAACAAACATGTGCATCAAATTCTCATATATGAAAAACAAGAGCCAACAAATATTTGGCTAAAACAATTATTCAACTATCAAAAAGTTCCTGATTATGTTTCTCTCAACTAATTGGTTAATTGATTTATTGTTGCGACACTACAAATCATTTGCACTTATAACGCCGCTCATCTGAATTCTTCGCTGTCTAGTACATTAAACAAGATTTGAGGTAAAAGAAAATAATGAGAATCAGAATCAGCTTTACTGGCCAGGTGTGCTGGACTCGAGGATTTTGACTCTGGTGCAGCGGTTCTCAATGTGCACGTACATATCCCCATGCAAGGGGCAAGTAAACCGTAAACCAACATAAGGCTGTGTAATATAACTAAATAAACACTATAAACAAGCAATAAACAACAAACGGCGAGCTAGCATGCAAGACAGCAGCCTAACCATCAAGACCAACCGGGTCTTGTGTTTTGCTCAAGAACACACTGACACATACAGTAGGAGCCGGGGACCAAACCACCAACCATTCTATTTATGGACGCCACGCTTTACCTACATACAGCCGACTAATATTAAAATACATGCCAATTTAACATAGCCCCAACCTCATCAAACCAACGTAGCTCAAACACTGAGAGCAGTCCAGTCTACAGCTACACAAGATATCCAGGGTTGAACAACGACCGCCTGCAAAATGCTGGCTCAAACTGTCCCTCCCTCAGTGTGCGTGCATTCCCAAGATTCCCTCTGTTTCTGATGTGGAAAACAACTTTGTTTCACAGCTGTAGTTTGACAAGAGGGATTGCTCTGCTCTTACCAGCCAACATACCCCGGGACAGAAGGAGAGGGGCAGACAGAAAAGCTCAAACATATTGATTGGTTCTCTTCTGCTTTCCCCAGATCATATGTATATTTATGGTGCTAATGTAATTATTAATCTCACTCTGGCCTCACTGTTCTGACCTTGTCTAAATACAGTCCATCCCATGGGCACAGCAAGTGGCTGTCCATGCTACAAGCACGACTGAACACACAGAGGACTCTCAGAAGAAAGGATGGAAAAGAAGAGGGGGAAATAGTGTCAGACAGGCACACAGTGAGCAGAGAAACTCGCCAGCCAGTGCTAACTGACCTGTACTGTGGCGTCCACTCAGTGATGTTGCTGTTGTTGAGAGTCCAGCGGTACTCCAGAGGCCAGCTGCCTCCAGCCAGGCAGGTCAGCACCAGCCTGTTTCCTTCCAATACCACCTGCTGCCCCAGTCCACCCCCTTGTAGGTAGGGAGCCACCTCTGACAGACAGACAGAGACAGAAAAGGGAAAATGTGTTATTTGTGTTAGTTGGAAAAAGTCTGAATTGTCATGTCATGCTCAGACAACAGAGCCGATGTCAGCTGTATTCAACCACAACAAAAAAAGAAATACATTTATGTTCAGTGTGGGCAAAAAAACGGATTTCATTGTCTTTAGTCTCCGAGTGGAATCTGAAAATACTGTATTAAGGTTGGCAGGTGCCATTTAGCAAATGTCAAGACAGACGCACTTAAAAAAAAAAAAAAAAGACAACTGGCATCAAGCAGCAATAAAAACTTTGTGTCCTAAAACATATTTTCATACAAACAGCATGAATGCATTTGTAGCAATATATCAGATGCTCCTTTTTATATTAATCAAACATTAATCGGAGGTTCTGACTTTTACAGCTGCAGCAGCTACAACTCAACGCCCCACATCAGCTGTTTGATGGTAAACAGTGTCACAAATTATGACCCTGCATTTAAATTATACCTGACAATAAAAATGATGTAAAAACCATGTGTGGCATACGCTGCATGTGGAAACACTCACGCCTATTGTTTTCTGTTTAATCCTACAAACCAGCAACACATGCACTATAATGTGCATCACCACTTCAGTGTGTCCTATTTCCCAGTGTTGATGTGCATCAATGGTCCAGAAAAGCAGCCATTGTATCACATTTACTCTGTGGAAAGACGCACTGTAACTTGACTACTCTTATGTGTTCACGTACCATCTGCTGTGAGTTTCTGGCATAAAGCAAATCAAATGCTGGTTTATATGAAGTTTCTCAGTAAAGCCTATTTACTGTAATGTGCTGTAATTCTTCACCTCCATCTCACCTGTTATTTCCCTAC